CAGGGCGGGTCTGAGGTAAGACACCAGTCCAGTCTGTGCTGAAACGCTACTGTCAATCAAACTATCATGGGCGGGGCCTGTATGTGTGACGTCACACAGACAGGCATCTGAGATCGGCTGGATTTGAGAAAGGGGTAAAGTAGATTAAAAGTAGATTTTTTTAGTAGATTAAAAAAAAAACACTGGGTGGATTTTTATCATTATAGGGTGGTTGTGTACACACACTGCCAACACACATTTCAGTTCAACCTATTTGTAAAAGTGCATGCAGCATCCTATGACCCCTTTAATAAATTTGCAAAGATTTCAAACAAACTTCTTTCACATTGTCATTATGGGGTATTGTTTTGAGAAAAATAATGAATTTAATTCTGTAACATAACAAAATGTGGAAAAAGTGAAGCGCTGTGAATACTTTCTGGATGCACTGAATACACTCACATATCGTTCACTCACTGTATGGGGAAAATAAAGTTATTTTAAAAAATGTCTCAGTCTGTAAAGTCAATGGTCACCAAAACTATTTGGTTACCAACACTCGTCAGGATATCTTCATGTCCTGCAAAACAAAGAAATGCATACATTTGGAACAACATGAGGGTTAAAATTAATTAGTTTTGTTGGTCAAAAATCCCTTTTAGTTTGCTGTCATCCAGATTTTTCTGTCTCTTTCAAGTCTCTTGGTCTTAGTGATGCTTTCTTTTTCCTGCTTTACATGGCGATTCTTTAGGATTTGTATCCCTCTATTAATCATTTTATGCTCACTGACAATAATAATGCTATTCAAGCCATATGGGTAGTCGTAGTAATCGTTTTCAGTCACAAGATGGCGCCAAATTAGCTCTTACATGTGTATTAAACCAGAGAAATCGTCATGTTGCACACCTTTCCCACAGCAAATTGGTTTCTGGCTATGCTCCCGTCTAATGCAAAAATGTATATCACTTTTGATTTCATGTTTCTCAAATTTTGAACTGGATTTTTGCTAGTCACCTATACGAATCTAAATAACAAATACATTTATTTAAATAGCAAATTACATGCATCCTCTCATCATGTCAGGCTTAAAATAATGATATGGGCTGTCATGACTCATGCATAATGTCGACTACACATTTACATGTCAACTAGATGAAGATATCATAATAATTTCTATATAATCAATTTATTTATTTTATTTATATAGCCTACATTAGAAATTCCATGCTAAAGTGGAAATTGCTTAAGAGAAATTCTCTCTCCTGAAACTGATTGACAGTTACTTATTGTTATGGAAACCTGAGACACTGCACCGAGACACACCTCCTGAAAGTCCTAAGACTGTTTAAACCGGGACATCTGGTCGCCCTACCTTTCCCTAATTTGCAAGGGCATACAACTGTCTGTTAGATTCTTAGGGTGTTTTCCATTTTCACTATGACAGCTTAAACTCTGTTTGAGTTTAAGGTGCAGTTATTAAAATACAACATCTGCCATTCATGCTCTGTACTAAAGTGTCTATTGTCTGTGGTTATGTGCTCTGAATGGATCCATCACAAACCACAGTTAAGGTTTGCTAGCATCACCCTTGTTAACTATGCTGTAACTACACCAGCTGACCGCATAATGGTTTCCTCAAAAATATTAAGCCGCATAACTGTTTCAACGCTGGTTCTTGAGCAGCAAATCAACATATTAGACTGACAGAAAATAGTTATTTTAAATTGCAACAATATTTCTCAATATTACAGTTGCTCTAGCGAGCATTAGATTTAAACTTTAAAGTAAAATTATATTTTTTAAAGGGGTCATATGATGTTGCTAAAAAGAACATTATTTTGTGTATTTGGTGTGGGCGTGTTAGAACGAGCCGTTTTAGGTAGGTGTGGCTGACTCTTAAATTTATAAAGAATATCTCTTTGGATTTGAGACTTTAGTCTTTGCAACTTTACAGATCTTCTTTATGCACCAAGAGCTTGTAACACTCCAAAGAGAAAGGAAAAATTGAAATCGCATCATATAACCCCTTTAAAAGAAATATTAAACATTGTAACAAATTCAAACTTGGGAACATAAGAGTAGCCTATATTGGGAAAAAAAGTCCTAATTTGAAATTAAATTTTAGTTTCATTAATCTGTAGTCATTCTAATATTATTTATGTAGGCCTCTGTGTAGTTGTTCCATGTAAAATCAGTGGAAGTTTATAGTAGTATGTCCTTATAAACTTCTGATAATTGACATGGGAGAGAGAGATTCTTTTGAACAAAAGGATTGTGTATAAGTTCATGACATGGTAAACCATAAGATAAATACACACATACAAACATTTCTATTTAATAATTAAGTCCAGAGTGCAAAATACATATCTGAAGTTCTTGACCGGAAGCTCGACGTCCATGTGCACAACGTGTAGCGAAGTATGGCAACCCATACTCGGAGTTTGTGCACTACATTAAAACCACCACAGTGCACACAGTCAGCCGAGT